TGATTTGCAGGTAAGGATTTTAATTCTGAATAAACATTAGTTTCTTATTCTGAACTCTAACATGCCTACAAACACCTGTGCTGCTAAAAAGTAAGTTGAAATGGTCACTACGTTGTGTGAGTCCCATAGGCTTAATCAGCACAGTAAGGAGCCATTTGGGGGTCAAACCAACCAGTGTGAGGGTCACAAACACTGGTGAGGAGCTCAAGATGAACTTGTGGTTAATCTAAAGAGTCTCCTGGGATAAAGCAGAAAACAAGACAAGCCCCGTCTTCATTCACTTGGGGCTTACAGTCAAAAAGGTTTGTGTTGGAGGCCAGGTGGGTTACAGATGAGCGAATCAACAACCGCTATAAGATGCAGTCAGTGTTATTATGGGGGTGAGCAAGACAGGCTATGAGAGCAGAAAAGAGGTACACCTGATTCAGGGATTAGGAGCAGGGAAGTGTCAACTAAACCCAGATCTAAGGTTGAAGAAGAGAGAAGAATGTTCCAGGTGGAACCAGATGTGAGAGAGTAAAGTGTGTTGAGGAGGTAAGTTGGAGACAACCCCACCCTCCAACTCTGTTGTTTCACACTCTACAGGAAACAAACCCACTAAAACACACCTCATGTTTTATATTTTACAAGATACTTCTGCATGTATTGCTTTATTTTCTCACTGCCGCAAACTTTCCAGATGTCCCTGGCCCATGCCATACGGTCAGGTAAAGAGACAAGGAACTGTCCCCTCTGTTCCTGGGATGCAAGAGGTGTTACAGTAGGAAACATGGATACTCCAGAACTGCCTTCTAAATGCTAGATTCCCACTGGGAATGGCTGAGGACACTGGCTGGCTGGCTAAAGTTCTAAGCAGTAAAAGAGCATTTTCCCCAATTCCCTCTTTTCTCGCTTGGGCTAAACTGTTGTCACTTATACCCTATTGGGATCAAAGAAGGAATCCCTCTAGTTTGGTTGGGGCCATTAAGTGTAGAGGAAGGTAGGAGACAAAACTGAGATCTATGGCCTGGGCGGGGTGGGTGGGTGGAGGTTAATATTTGCATCAGGTTGGGAATGATTAACTCAGTGTCCCCATTCTAACAGAACATTCATCACAGGAAGTTCTGTCCTCAAGCTCATCTTGAGGTTTCCCTACAGGTGTCAGCCAGTTTCCAGGTGAGAGAGGGCTACCAGGTACTTTTAAATATGTTGCTTCACTTAATCTTCACAAGAGCCTCTCTGGATATGTATTGTCATTTCCAGTTTTCACAAACAAGGGGGTGGGAAGGATAAGAAATTGAATAACTTGCCCAAGGGAACTGTCCCCAACTCCTATGATATTTATTCTGCCTAGAATTGCTCCCCTGACAAATGCACCTTAGAAACTTCAACTCATCCTTTAAGCCTCAAATCCACTACCACGCCTCTGTGAAGACTTTTTCACTGTACCTTCCACTCTCAAGCAGAGCCTGCCATGCTCTTGCCCCTTCAGTACCTGGCACAAAACTCCCTCACAACACCCGGACACACTGCAGTAGTGGTTTAGTCTCTCAGTTGTGTCTGATTCCTGTGACCCCATGGACTGTAGCCCACCAGGCTGCTCTGTCCATGGGATTTCCCAGGCAAAAATACTGCAGTGGGGTTCCCATGTCCTTCTCCAGGGGATCTTCCTGACTCAGGGATCAAACCCTGGACTCCTGCATTGCAAGCAGATTCCTTACTTCTGAGCCACCAGGGAAGCCTAGGTCGTCTGCTTATTCCTGTCCACTTCCAGTTCTAGACGATTTCCTGAGGTCAGGAATATATTATATCCCAAGTACTTATAGCATAAGGACCGATAAGAGAAGTAAGCACATAATAGATGTTTAATGATAATAAATGTATTGGCAATAAACTATGGCTTTAAGTTAAATGCTGGAATATACTTGAAGTATTTTCCATACACTTCACAATTTATAATTTCGGGCACCAGAACAAAGACTCATTGGAAGTTGCATAGTCCTAGTTACAAGGGAGTGTCACATGTAAACAGAAAATTTCATCTAATCTAGAAGTATCTATGGGGAAAGATCACTTAAGTGGGGAGAGTGGCAGAGAGAGGCTGCTGGGGAAAGCTTTCTGAAGATGCTATCTGAATTGCACCAGAGGAGAAACGGCAATATACTTAAATCCCTGGTGAGGAAAGATAGGAAGAAAAAAATCAGAGGGCAGTGAGTTGAGACCAGAAACTCAGAGAATAGGATAAGATATAGGTAGGGTAAGCAGGCCATGTAGGAACTCTCAAAAAGTGTGAGTAGAATCAGGAGAGTGATCCTGACAAGGGAGTAAGAACTTTAAAAGAGTATGAAGTCAGCAATGCCAGATTAAACAGGAAGGTCACATAAGATAAGGCCTAAACATTCAACGGAATGGATTTAGTAACCAGAAAGTCATCAGTAGGCTTGGCAAGAGCAATGTCAGTGAATTGGTGAAAGAAACAGAAGCCAGACTGCAGTGAGATGATGAGTGAATGGGAGGAGAGGAATCTGTGATGGTGAATGTAGACAACTTTTACAAAGACTGACTAAAAGGGGTGGGGGGAGCAATAGGGCAGTAGCAAAAGGGTGATGAGGTTTTTTATACATACTAAAATAGTTTTTTAGTCTTAACTAATTCTTTTCCTTCCATCCCACACCACTCTCAAATGGACAGTTTTTGAATTGGACCCATTAAATTCCCACTATGCTGTAATTTTCTTAAGAAAAAGTCTTGTAGCTGAATCACCTTTTTATTCCACACATTTCTCTGTACATAATATAGATTCAGTATATTTCCTGAAGAAATGAATGAAATGCAAATTCAACACAAGTGATGACAGGGAAATGAATACGAGCTGCACTAGGATACAGTTTTTGTTCATTCTTGGTTCTTCTTTCAAGGGAATTTGAGGTTGCCTGAAAACTCAGGACCATAAAGGAAACAGATCCAGACAATCTTCTCTCTCTGACGCTTATAAATTATTTGACCCAGAGAGGCAAATGTACATTGTTCCCAGTTTAGATTTGAGAGACCACTGAAAAATAGATCCTCAGACTCCAGGGTTTCTTCATGCCCAGAAACTGTTCAAGTTCTTGGAATCAGCAGGTCTGTACTAGAGTCTCAGTACTGCCATTAGAGTTCCTGCTAAACCTGCCTAAGCTTCAGTTTTCTCACTGGCATCTTCAAGATGCCCATAATAGCATCTACCTCACAGGGTGTGTGTGTGTGTGTGTGTGTGTGTGTGTGTGTGTGTGTGTGTGTGTGTGTGTGTGTGTGTTAGCTGCTCAGTCCTGTCCAACTCTTTGTGTGTGTGTGTGTGTGTGTGTGTGTGTGTGTGTGTGTGTTAGCTGCTCAGTCCTGTCCAACTCTTTGTGACTCCCAGGCTCCCACAGGGGGTGTGTGTGTGTGTGTGTGTGTGTGTGTGTGTGTGTGTTAGCTGCTCAGTCCTGTCCAACTCTTTGTGTGTGTGTGTGTGTGTGTGTGTGTGTGTGTGTGTGTGTGTGTGTTAGCTGCTCAGTCCTGTCCAACTCTTTGTGTGTGTGTGTGTGTGTGTGTGTGTGTGTGTGTGTGTGTGTGTGTGTTAGCTGCTCAGTCCTGTCCAACTCTTTGTGTGTGTGTGTGTGTGTGTGTGTGTGTGTGTGTGTGTGTGTTAGCTGCTCAGTCCTGTCCAACTCTTTGTGACTCCCAGGCTCCTCTGTCCATGGAATTCTCCAAGCAAGCATACTGGACAGCCATTCCTTTTTTCAGGGCATCTGTCCCACCCAGGGATGGAACCTGCATTGGCAGAGGGATTCTTTCACCGTTGGAGTCTCCAAGGAAGCCCACCTCCTAGGGCCAGAGGAGGACGAATGAGATAGTGAAGCGCTTTTCACAGCGCTTGGCAAAATGGCCCTCAGTATATTAATAAGAGAAAAAAAGTACTGCTGAAATGAATAAAAATATTACTAAAGGGAATGAGTTCCAGAAGAGGTGAGTATAAGCCAAATCTTCTTAATTATAGAAAGAAAACTTTAAAAAAAAAACCTCGTTTGAAAACTTTTTTACAAGAGTGAGGAAACAATCAGCCTCAGTTGTGGTTTATAAATCCACATTTTTGCATAAGTACCAGGTTTACTGAAAAATCTAGTTCAAAATCTCATGTTAGTGGACCTGCCCATCTTAGTCGGTCAACGTTCCTTGGCTTGGGGCGGAACCAGTGTGTTGCGTTAACTTTCCGGCCTGCCACGACCGCTTACATATGAGCGCGCTCAAGTAGGTAGGTTCTGTTCTAATGAAAATTCAGCTCCAGCAACCTCGGTGGAACAGATCCAGAAGCAACACCGGGCAAAGACTAGCCTTTTCAAAAGCCTGCGCCCCAGCAACCAGGCGGCGCCAGGGCAGAGGGCAGAAGCTCTGACGCAGCAAACTGGGGACCGAGCCCTGGCGCGCCGTGCCACCAGGGGGGCGGGTGCCCAAAACCCGGGGCTCGCAGCCAGCGGGCAGCGCCAGTCCCAGACGGGAATAGCAGGCAACCCAGCGGGATGCAAGGAGGGTTCTGAGGAAGGCGGCGGCCTCTAACCTTTCCGGGTTAAGGTGACTGCACTCGGCTCGGTAACTGTATCTTCACAGGCAAAAAAGGTTAATGTAAATGTCAGAGGCCCGGACGACGGCGGTGGCAGGGGAAGAACGGAGAGGAGGAGAAAGAAGGGAGGGGAAGGAGGCAGAGGGCCGGGCCTCCCAAGGTCAAGCCCTGCTCCGCGCCTCGCGCCTCACCGCCCAGCCATGGCGGGGTGGGGGTGGGCGAGGGATGGGAGGAGCGGTCAGAAGAGCAGTTCCGCTGCCCTCCTTGGCCACTCTCCCACCCGGGGCGACCCCCGCCCGGCCGCAGGCTAGGAAGCGAGAGCGCCGAAGAGCTGGGGGGTGGAGACTCGGCGGCCGCGCGCGCGGAAGTGGCCCCGCGGGAGCGCGCGCGGCAGGAGGCGGACGGGCGACTGGGGAGACGGAGGAGCGGGCACGTCCCTTACCCCGTTGGCGGCGGCGATGCGGACGATGAGCTGGATGGCCTCCTTCATGTAGAACCTGCCGTCTCCGCCCACCACCAGGGTGGCCTCCTGCCGCTGCGCCGGCTCCACAGTGGAGATGATACTCTGGATGAAATTCTCGGCATAGTTGGCGCTGCTCTGAAACACTTTCACCCGCTTCCGCAGCCCGCTTGTGCCCGGCTTCTGGTCTTGGTACGCCTTGGTCTTTACAGTCACGATCTTTACCATGGTGACGACTTGCTTCCTGGGGCCCAGCGGACTCTGCTAAGCGAGGGGCGGCCGGAGCTGTGGTTGCAGCTGCTCTGGGATGAGGGCGCGGACGGGGTCGGGGCCACGCCGGTTGTGCTCGTCCCTCCTCCTTAAAGGGACAGGGGGCGGCCCTCCGCGGCCAGTTCACCTCCTTGCAGGTCCGAGAGGGAGGGGAATGGAGAGCCCACCCCCAGCCTCCTGTGAGATGGGTGGAGCCTCTCTGATTTACCCTCTCTTGTCGACCAATCCACAGTAAAATAAAATCCACAGCTCCTCCCCCAAGTGGAAGGGCAGAGGTGGGATAGGGACTGGGTCACAGGGCAAGGACTTAAGGCAAAGTGGGAAAAATACAGAGCAGGGACAGGCGAACTTCGAAGACTTGGGAAGGTTCCACTTAGAATTTTTCTACTTTTTGATGGTGTGAAAGCAATAAGTAGAATACTTATTGCTTCTAATCCTGTACCTCTAATTTTGATCTTTTACCGGGCCAGTAATATGCAGTAGGTATTCTGTACTCTGGTAATGTTGAGCTGTGCGAACCCAGCTCCAGCTCCCAATCAGCCACCTGATCAGGAGGGTGAACAAGCAATTCACGTAGAACCTTTCTCTACCCATACAACCATTCTGTTTTTCACTTTCAGTACCGTATTAAATAACATGAGGCATTCATGTAATGAATAGGCTTTCTGTTAGACGAATTTGTCCAACTTCAGGCTAAATTAAGTATTTTGAGCACGTTTAAGGTAAGCTAGGCTAAGCTACAGTGTTTGGTGGATTAGGTGTATTAAATGCCTTTTCCCCTTATGATCATACTTTCAACTTCCAGTGAGTTTATCAGGAGGTAACCCCATTGTGAGTGGAGGAAGATCTCTACAACATTTCCTGTGGTTAAGCTGGAGTTGCATGCATAAATAACTTTCTGGAAGCATGTTCTGAGCAAGGGAAGTGTCAGCCTTAACTAGATTTTGACTTCTTAATCTTTCTATTCTCTCTAAACATTAGGGTATTTGTGATATCCCCCTGCCAATGCCTGAGACACAGGAGAGGAGGGTTTGCTTCCTAGGTGGGGAAGATTCCCTGGAGGAGAAAATTGCAACCTGCTCCAGTAGTCTTGCCTGGAGAATCCCATGGACAGAGGAGCCTGGTGGGCTACAGTCCATGAGGTCACAAAGAGTCGGACATGGCTGAGTGACTGAACACCCCTGCATGTGAGATAAAGGGGTCAACTCCAAAGGTCTAATTCAACCTCCTGCTTTCCACCTGTTTACTGGTGGGGCACATGCTACTTCCACTGGTTAGGGTGGCTACAATAGTAGGTAATATTTATTGAATATAATGTTTCTAAAGTATAGGTTTTATTATTGTCACAATTTTATACTCACAAAACTGAGATTCAAAAAGTAAAATGACTAGTCAAGACCACAGAGATAAGTACATGGAGGAGGCCAACACAGGTGGGTGTGGCTACCAAACCAGAGCTCTTACAGTGATTTGCCTGTATGTCACCAGGGAGAACTAGGAAATGTACAAGAAGGCTTGAGCAACATATGTACAAACACAAAGTGATGTTGAGTATTATTACCACCAAAATACATCAGTTATTCACTTAGTAGAAAATTGGTGAAGAGATCAAGAATTGAGGTGGCCATAAAGGGTTGGAGGATATAGAGTCAGTGAAAGTCTCAATTGTTAAGTAGGAATCATCAGTCTTTCTTTTAGGCTCAGCATCTCCCTTGATTTAGTGAGAGTGACTGTCTCCTCTGCTTGAGAAATGTGTCATTTACAAGATGTGTTAACTGGGGAAAGCTCATTAATATCTGTGGGCATCCGCTTCTTTACTATAAAATAGAGACAAACCCTATCTTAGAATTTATACAAGAATTAACGGGGTTTTGTATGTCAGTAGTTCTCAGTCATGGATACACAGTAGACTCACGTGAGACATTTTTGAAACTACCCATGTTCTGGTCCAAATCATAATTGGACCAGATTCAGTCATAATCAAGTGGTGTAAGTAAATCAGGTGGCATGGTACCTGAAACACAGAGGCCCAAACATAAAGGTCAAAAAATATTAACTTCCTTTCCACAATTCCAAAGCCAGTGCTTATCGTTTACCTGTGAAATTGATTATATTCATGGCCATTTAATGGTTAATTGGTATAGCTTGATCCAGGAGAGAGGCTGAATAATGCAAATAGTTGCTGACTCTCAGAAGTCAAGTGTTCATATACAGGTTGATATGGGTGTCATGTGGATATAGATATGGGTTTTAATGCAGTCACTACAGATAAATTTCAGGGATAGATACCATGTGAAAACTAAATTCCAGACAGCTGATATTGATTTCTAATATTTACACAGAAGTTCACAAAGCTTACAGAGTTGTTGTTCAGTAGCTAAATCACATCTGACTCTTTGCAACCCTGTAACTGCAGCACACCAGGCTTCCCTGTCCTTCACTGTCTCCTGGAGTTTGCTCACACTCATGTCCATTGAGTTGGTGATGTCATGCAACCATCTCATCCTCCATCTCCCCCTTATCCTCCTGCCCTCCATCTTTTCCAGCATTAGGGTGTTTTCCCGTGAGTTGGCTTTTTGCATCAGGTGGCCAGAATATTGGAGCTTCAACTTCAGCATCAGTACATCATTCTTGTAGTATCATCTTGTGAATAAAGTAGTATAATCAACCCCATTTTATAGGCTAGTGCATTGAGAATAGAATGGTTGGCTGTAATCAAGTTTACTTGACTCCACAAAATGAAAATATAACATAGAATCACTGAGTCTTAGACCTCTCAGAGTTGTATGGATTAACTGACGTACTGAATATAGAGCTGTTTGCACAGTACTAATACCTGCTCAATAAGAGGTCACTCATTATTATAAAACAGTGAGCTCAACTTCACTTCACACATTCTTTATTCTTCCCTATCTTTGGAACTAGGATGGGGATTTTCTTTTTTTTTTTTTTTTTTCCATTTATTTTTATTAGTTGGAGGCTAATTACTTTACATCATTACAGTGTAGGATGGGGATTTTCATTTATGAGGAATTGTCCCATATGTCTCTCTCCTCACAAGATGTAATAATTTAATAATTGGCTTTAGCTACATAACAAATCACTCTTGAATGTAGACAGTCATTTATTATTATTATTATTGCCTGTGATTTTGTGAGTTAACTGCTGGTTCTGCTGACCTGGGCAAGACTCTTCTGTCCTTCATGGTGCTCCTGTGGCAGTCTCCAATCTCTGTGCCTCCTGGTAATCTCACCTTGATGTAATCCCCTTATGTTACTTTTCTTACTGTGTAACACATCACCACATAGGCAGTGACTTAAAACAATGCCCACTTATTATCACAGTTCTATAGGTCAGATGTCTGGGTGCGTTTTGCTGGACTGAACGTTCATAGGCCGCATAAAACAAGGCTGAAATCAGGATATTGGCGAGGCTGGGCTCTTATCTGGAGGTTCTGGGAAGAATCTGCTTCCAAGTTCATTCATGTTGGCAGGATCCATTTTCTTGCAGTTGTAACTCAGAGGTCCTTGTTTCTTTGCTGGCTGTGAGCCAGGCTCCTCTCTATATTCATAGAGGCTGCCTACAGTGAGTAAGTCCTTCTCATGGCTGCATTCTCTGCCTCCCTCTTCCACCAAAAGCTGGAGAAAATGCCTGCTTTGTAAAGGGCTTGTATAATTAGGTCAGATGTACCCGGATAATCTTCCTTTTGCCATGTAACAACAATTGTGGAAGTTGTATCCCATCATATTCACATGTTTTGCTTGCACTCAGAAATTGACCTACAGAGATTTCCAAGTTGTAGTATTGAGAAAAGCAGCAGAATGATTCTTATTCCCTCCTGGGTGACAACTGAAGAGGGAAAGGAAGCCATTGGACCTGAACTGCCCATACAAACAGAAATGAGAATTCTCAGCAGTGTGGACCAGAAGCCAAGAGTTAGACAGGATGATCATGTGCCTGCAGAGACACTGGGTATCAGATGCCAGGTATGCCAACTACGCTTCTTCCCCTGTGTTTGGCACTATATAAGCTAACTGTACCTAGTGACAGTCCCAGATGGATTATCTCAGGCAAATGAGATAGAAATCAAAATGAATTGTAGAAAAAGAAATATTATTTCTTGAACACCTAACTGTGGACTGAGATTTGTGTCTGCTCAAAGAAACCTGATACATATACACAATGGAGTATCACTCAGCCAGTAAAAGGAATGAAATAGTGCCATTTGCAGAGATATGGATGGGCCTAGAGATTGTCATACAGAGTGAAGTAAAAAAGAGAAAAGCAAATATCGTAATATTGCTTGTGTGTGGAATCTAGAAAAATTATACAGATTAACTTATTTGCTTGCAAATCAGAAATCTAGTTACAGATGTACAGAACAAACATAGTTACCAAGGGGGAAGTAGGGGTGGGATGAGTTGAGAGATTGGGATTGACATACATGCACTATTATGTACGAAATAGACAGCCAGTGAGAACCTACTGTGTGGCACAGGGAACTCTATATTCAATGTTCTGTGGTCACCTAAATGGGAAGGAAATCTAAAAAAGAGCGGATATATGTTCCCTCCTAGTTCAGTTGGTAAAGAATCTGCCTGCAATGCAGGATAGCCGGCTTCAATTCCTGGGTCGGGAAGATCCCCTAGAGAAGGAAATGGCAACCCACTCCAGTATTCTTGCCTGGAGAATCCCATGGACAGAGGAGCCTGGCAGGCTACAGTCCATGGGGTCACAAGAGTCGGACACGACTTAGTGACAAAAGAGAGAAAGAGAGATAATTAATTTACTCTGCTGGACAGCAGAAACCAACATTGTAAAGCAACTATACTCCAATTAAAATTAATTAGAAAATAAACTGAGAGATACTGGAGATGGCGGAGGAATAGGACGGGGAGACCACTTTCTCCCCTACAAATTCATCTAAACAACATTTGAACGCTGAGCAAATTTCACAA